TAAATTGTTTCGTGAAAGAGAAAACAGAAAAAATTTTTAAATTTAACATCAGCAAAAATCTTCGATTCAACAGCAAAATATATTGAAATCTACTTCATTTGATGATGATGATGTACCCACTGATCACCAAGTTCAGTAAGTTGTTTAATCTGCTCCTATTTCTGCGTAGTACAAAAAATCATTTCCTACATCTTCTTCTTGCTTTTTCTTCTTCTCAACATTTTTATACCAAGTGTACACACTGACTAAAGCAGAACTCAGAATGATGAGACTAGCCCCTATCAGGTCTACGGCAGTTGGCTTCTTTTTAAACACAATGAAGTCCAACAGGTAGGCAATAACTAACTGAATATTCGCTAACAGCACAACCGTCGCAGCAGGTTCAAGTTGTAAGCTACGGAATCGTGACCACGTCCCCAAAGTGTTTGAAATGATCATTCCTAGAAAATAGAATATGACTCGAGTTTCCGTGTGCCACACCGGTGGCTCAAATATGAGGGCTAATATGATCGCTGAAACAGCACCGATTGTGACCTTGTAGAAGGACACTGTAAGTAAACAGACGTTTCTTGCGACAAACCGACACATGACGCATATAGATGAAAAAGCAGTGGCACATAATAATGCATAAACGTATCCCAGAGGTTGAATGTCATCATCGTCTTCGACTTGACCGAATATAAAGGTTGGTTTACATATCAGAACAATTCCTGTTAGATTGATAACAGTTCCTATGAGGTCAACTTCTCGCCACGATTCATTGAGAAACATGCATGACAACAGCGCAGTAAGGATTGGCATCGCTCCGTGAATGATAGCAATCATATTACCCATTGGTATACGAGACAACGCATTCAGTAACGCTATATACCCTAAAGTCCAACCAATTCCAATGCACGACATGATAGTTATATCTTTCGTAGAATCACAGATAAGAGAAACTCGATAGTAAATAATGGGTGGGATCAAAACCAGAGTCATTCCAAGATCAGCGATGAAAATAATCTGAAAATTCGGTATACCACTTTTGCCGAGGAACACGAAGAGCAACGTAACGAATGCGAACGAAACACCAGAAAGTAATGCGAAAAAGACTCCTTTCACTGAATCTAATTGGATTGATGCTGATGGTGTTGATAACCGCTCGGTTTTTGATACGGGAGGTGGATCATCCTCGGACATCCAGGATATCGGTATAAACTTTTCTTTGCTCATTATTCTTATCCTGATTGATGGTACGTAGCGATATCACAAATATCTTCCACATACACAGCAAGGTTTATAACATTCAATGGATGGTCGGCGAGGAAACGCGGTGTGCAATTAGCATATCCTCAATGTATAACAGAGTAAGACACACTCACTGTTAGAAGATGAGCTTAGTACAATACACACGATCGATAAGACATCCATACAGCTTTTCATTGCTGTATTTATTGAAAGAGAAAAGCCCACACCTCCAGAGCAAGTCACGCAATAACGTATTTAAACTAGTAATTAGAACGTGGGATGGGTCACAACCGCTTCACTGATGCATGATTTTAATAGTTGCCATTGGATTCGTACATACTAATTAATTTGGTGTAAATATATTATATCGCTAACGAAGAGTAAGCAGTAAATGCAATTAACAAATGACTCTATTCAGCACACCAAGACATGCCTGACTGGATGTGATCAGAATTGCATGCTGACTTTTGAACAAAGACAAGCAATAATGGGTTCAATTTTAATGCAGGAAATTTCAGTGAAAATAAAAATTGGATATAAATGTAATTTATAACATAACTGACACATATAACCAAGGGATTTATTATTCATTGAAGAATGTTAGTGAAAATTGAACGCCCACACCTGTTGATGAGCGTGTATTTCCCATTTATTACACCAATTACAATAAGATATTGTAATTAGTTAAATTTTATTTTCATCTACTTAAAATACAATGGATACGCTCACTCAAGCAGTACCTTGTGATGTCACACAGTAAAAATACTACTAGACACAAGTATCATTAATTATAAGGTTGTGAAGTAAACTGAACAGTTAGTGTAAAAAAAAAAATAAAGTTAATGATTTTTTTTATCTTAATAAATAAATCATTCAAAGATGATTTGAAATAAAAAAATCATGAAGAAAAATTTCACTACCCCAGACCATTCGTCCCGGTGTTATCGTGGCGATAGCGATAACACCGGGACGAATGGTCTGGGGTAAAATTTCACAGAAAGCAACTGAGAATTCCTGCTACCATATTAATTTTTTGCAAAGTTGTGAGTGCAATTTTCTGTTTGACCAACCAAAGAAAAGTTAATTAAACAGCGGTAAATCATAATTTGTTTAATAAGACTGTTTATGAAGTAACAACTTATTATTATGGTCTAATTATTATGTTTATCAAGCGGTTAAGTAAGTTGGTAATTATTGAAAGCACTTAATGCAGAATTAAAAAGTCATACTAATGAAAATGCGACAATGCATTGTGGAAGAGAACTTAAAATTTGATATAATGGAATACTAATAATCACATTGGAAACTAATTAAAAAGTGTAAAAATGCAAATTTTGTCTCACGAACCCATTTTTTTTTTTTATTTTCCATATTACAATGGCATAAACCGAACAAACATATATGAAAAGATGACAAATAATTTTAATTGACTGAGAAAATGATGTACTAAGCTACAACTATTGACCCAAGCATAAGCCAAAAACCTTATTTACAGAATGACATCATTGTAGAAGTTACTGTTTTACAGAACTCAATTATGAGTGACCAACTGAAAACGTAAAAGTTGTTTTTTACGAAACTTTAAAATATGCTGCGTTTATGGAGACAGGTCTTTTACCTAACTTATTTGGTAGACTGTCAACAATCTCTCTGGCCTAATGTTTATTTTTAACTGTGAAGGCATTTCACGAGAGGGCTATAAGGCCCGAGGGACTTTTATAGAATTGGCGTTGTAAATTTTGCATATACATATATGCTGAGCACGTTTGCATGGAAAGGTGTCGTCTTTTTCTGTTCACTGTCAAATAGTCTAAGTCCAAAACTACAAATTGTTCAAGTTCATTCAGTGCATGTCAATGTCGGTCTTCTCTAGGGATGTATGACAAAGATCTGGTCAAGGAATCTCAGAACATTGTGTGACTTATGATTGGTTAACACTTTCATGATATTCTATCTTCAATAAATAAATGCTGCTTGGACATTTTTATTTTAAACATCTCCGTCTATGCTATCTATAAAGAGCCATTACTCAAAACGTCTAGCCATTTTGAATAGTTACTCAGGAAGACGATTACCAATTAATATCTACTACTAGTATATACATGTTAGTCACATTGATATGGTACAAATTAATTTGTCTACAATGTAGAGAGCCGGCATAGGAGCCTTTAACAGCTGTAAGTAAAAACAAGAGCTGCAGCATTGGTGTGAAACATTCTCGTGGTTTCAACATTCATATGCCAATTCATTTGCAAGAGTAAGCGACAAGAACAAGTGGCTGTAATTTGTATTGTTCCCAATGAGACGACAAGAATTTGTGTTCTTGTAAATGAAGTGACTGGAATTTGTATTCTATGCCAATGAAACAGCGAAGATTCGCATGAGAAGGTGACAGTTCTCCCTCTTGTCTCGCATTTTTTACCAATACTGTTTATGTTATCATCGTGCACAAATATGGTAACAAGTCCAACATGAATGAATTACTTTCTATGGTGAAAATCTAAAAATTTGAACATCGGCCGAAAAAGTAGTATGTAGTTGCAGAGTTATTTGTAAAAATTTATAGTGAGTTTCAAAATTAATATTTTATAATTAATGTAGATTTCTATACCGTATAATGTAAATTTATATCTATCATTATTAACATGTGCAGTCATGGGAAGTTTTAATTTAGTTTAAACTTAATAAAGTAACACGAGATTACCACGTTTTCTGTAATTTATTCGTTACTTTGAACATAATTTCCCATTTCCAAAAAAAAATGAATTCATTGTGTGAAAAGTGACAAATATTGACCTAGACATTAAATATGTTTATACGCACCACACATCATTTCATTCAAAATATATTTCTCTGTGCAATTACTTTATAATAAGACAATCAAAAAAGGTACTGTTGTAATTCAATTCAATATGGAAAAATATTTGTACAATAAATTTACATTACAAAAATTTTTTTTTTTTTATAATCAGCCAACATTGTTTACCTACTCATAGTATTACACTTACACATACATTATTACACTTTGTAGTTCTATGTTTTCCATTGAAATAGATCTTAGACGAAAAATTGTTGAAAGAGGAAAAGCCACAAGACCAGACTTTTCCCTTCATATATCCTTCCATTATCTCCTGTCAATGCGTCAATGTTACAAATATCTAAGTTACATGTATATATTGGTTGGGGTAACAGTTGACTTGATGATGGAAGGAAATAGTACACTGTTTGAGAAATTAACAAATTTTGTGGCTTTCTCTCATTCAAATGGTTTATTTATTTCTGTAGAACAAAAAACAAAAGGTTGTCATATTATGCGTTTAAGATGTTTGTTCTTTCCAATCTACAAGTTGAATATGAAATTGCAAAAAGAAATAATAAGGTCAACTTACATTTGGAAAAATGGGAGAACGCTGAAAACTGGCTTTAGTAAGTAAATACTGTATTCGTACACCAGATCATCTTTTGTTTTTGTATTTCCTTTTGTAAGTTTGTTTTTGTGTATGTAAATCCTTTATTCGTATAATAAAAAATAAAAAAAATACTGTTTGAGAGGAATTAACAAATTTTGTGGTTTTCTCACGCAATGAGGTCTAGGTGACCATCCGAGTGTACTGTAATCCAGCTGTACATTTACTTCAAAATAAAAAAATTACAAGCAACAATAAACCCTTGTAGTGTGTATAACGAATACTGAAGCCAAAACTGATAAATTCATGTGTGTTAATTACAATTTATTACAAGGGATAAACCTTGCTAAGTAGTAAAAATGTGCTACTGTACTCGGGGAAAGGGGGGAGGGAGTCAAGTGTAATATTTCACATTAGAATATCTGCATGTCTCAGTGTAGCATCAATATCCATTCTTTCATTTATATCACTGTAATTATCATATTACCTGCAGCGTTTTTACTGGGAGGATGCATTATCATCAAGAATTGCTGCTGTCAGGGCCTGCAGATCACCGACAACAGACTCCACGGTAACTAGAATAAAATAAAAATTATCATAGCTTAATAATAATAAGATCATTTTGCAAAAATGAAATAAAACAATTAAACTGATGTTGAGATGAGATCACTAATATGATCAACTGATTATGATATTGGATTCTAGGACAACTGTGCTCGTAATATAGAAAACAGAATTTATATGATGTGATATTTATTTATAACATACCAATTGTCATTGAATACAGTTTGTATATACATGTATATTAACATGTAATGTCATTTATATACCAGAAAACATATTTGACAAATTTTCAATCATAGTCATTCAGACTCCTTGTAATTGCATCCATATAAACAAAAGAGTTGAATTTTACGCCGTTGAGGGCGCTCTGTATTAAAAATGTATGAAGATGTATACTGTAGAATACTTTATTTTCGCTTGGAATTTATTTTTGCTATTTTTGCTAAAGGGATGATTCCGTGGTAATAAAATCCAGCGAATATACATTTTTTCCTATATTTCACAATAAACTCATCAGAAATCAATGAAATTAAATTCCGTACAAAATGCCCAAAAAGCCTTTTCAGCGAAAATTAATTCCAGCGAAAATAAAGTATTCCACAGTATATATTACTGAATCAAAATAGATCTTAACCTGAACAGCTCTCAAAGGGATGCCAACCTTAGATAAATAGAGACATGATGGGAGCCTGTTTTTTTTATTCATGAAGTGAAAAATAAATGCTTTCTTTTCTCTCAACAAAATGCAGAAGAATGAAATTTAATATGCAAAAAAATTCCTTGTAGAAAACAGAAATATCTCCATGATGAGTATAAAGTCTTTATATTATCAGAACTGAGCAAGGTACAAACTTCAGATCTCATGCGTTCATGTATTTCACAACAGCGCCCCCTATGTCAGGTATGACAAGATCTTTCACGCAAATGAAATACATTGAAATTCCACTGGGATAGTCATTTTTAAGTCTCAACCATTGACTTAACAAAATTAACACTAGGAATTTATCAAGCACATTCAGCAGTACCTTTAGATGTACGTTGTTTTGTTGGAACAGTATCAAGCTCATTTTCTTCTTGTGTCGATGTAGATACTTCATCAGCAGACAAAGCATCAGGGCGACTACTTTTATATTTTCCTAGCAGACCTTCCTGTCGCAGGGTAGTCTGTGAAAAGAATTTGCAAATGTAATTATTTATGAATTAATTAATACTAATTGTCATGATGATCAGTTAAGATAAACAATACACACAAATAAAAATATTTGTCATTTTACAATATTGCAAACATTTTTTTAGTGGATTTTTAACCAGGAACATGTTTTCATTGTGGTCTATAGAAAACACTGATATTTTACAAGTACATATACTAGTACCATTTTTTGTTTCTAAAAAAAAACTAATAATACTAAAAAAATAAATTTATTGATGGTACATTGTATACATATTTGTGGAGGTCATAGGCATGATTATGGATTTTATTTTTATCTCTGGTGCTAAAAATAAAAGTGATTAATTGACTTAACATACCATTACAATATTTCTCTCTGTTTCCACTTCTCTCAGTTGGTTTTGTACTTTATCCAACTGCTTTTGGAATATTTCTTCTTCTGTTTTCAGTTTCTCTGCATGTCGTTCCTTCTCCCTGACCAGTTGACGTTCCATTTGTCTCAGTGATACAACTGCAAAAAATTAGAGAATATAGTCAATTGTAGAAATAAAGAAGAATATTTGCATGCCAATGATGAATAACGACGGAAAAACAAAAATGAAAATGAAGTCCAACCTGCTTTAGTGTGTTCCCTTCTCACTTCGTTTAACCTTTTCTCAACCTCAGCTAATTTCTCAACATACTCGGCAGACACAGCTTTACATTTCTCATCAACCACTGTAAGCAGAATAGAAAAAGAAAAAAAAAAATTACAAACTTAAAAAGACATAGCATATCTGGTATTTCATTAAACCGCCTA